CCCCAAAAGCCGCGTTTCACCCAAAAGGGTTCATACCCAATCCCCGTGGGGCCAGCCGCAGCCCTCCTGCCCGCCACAGCGCAGGTGAGGACCCTCTGCTGCTGCAGACACCAGCAGCTCCCCAATATTTTCCCAAATGCTTTTTGGAAGGAAGAACCAGAGCAGGAAGGGTCAGGGCTCGGGAAGAGGTGTTTCTGCAGAATGCGATGAGAAACCACTGTGCACCCGAGGATGCTGCGAGGCAGAGCATCTCCCCTGGAGCGGGACCCTTTGCAGCCCATCGCACGCCTGCTCCCCAGCTGTGTGGGGTGCTGGGGCTCTCTGGGTGAGTCTCCTATGGGGAGCCGGGCTGAGCTAACCCCCCCTGCATGCTGTGTGTGAAGAGGCTTTGCCCCCAGGCCAGCCCTCAGCCAGGGGTGCAGGGCTGAGCCCCCCAGCCACGTTACAAACCGGAGGAGACGTGCTTCACGCAGCCATCGCATCCTAGTGCTGCCATGGGCATTGCCGGGGAAACTGTGGTTCATGGTAATCCCCTGAGACATAAGCTGTCTCCGAGATCCCGGGCTGTGCCCTGACACTGCAGTGGCCTGGGCTGTGGCATCGCTGGCTGGGTTTGGGGCTGGGTCACCCGCTCCGGCCAGGACTCCCTGAGACGCCGTGGGATGGAGTGGGTGAAAGGGGAAGGAAAGGGCAAGGGAGGAAAGTGATTTCTCCTAAAGCAAGCCCCAGTGTGGCCCCAGCATGGTCTGCACCCCTGCCTGGGGGAGCAGGGATGGGGTCTGTGCCCCACCTGGGGCCAAGCCCAGCAGCAGCGTTCCCTGTGCAGGCACTGGGCTAAAAACCTCTCGCCACCTACTATGCCACGGTGGGTGCAGCCCACTCACCATGCTCAGGGTGGCTTTATCCCAGGGACTGAGGCTCAGGTACTTCCGCTGGCGTTCCTGCAAGGAAAGGGGACAAGAAGCTGATTTTGAGGCTCAAAGCGCTGATTTAGGGTTTGCAAATCAGGGGAGGAGCTCTGTGCCCTGGGATGCTCCCACCCCCCCATACACACAGCCATAGCAGACATCATGTGGGAACAATGACTTATTTTATTTTTTATTTCTTAAAGTGAATGGCATTTGAGTATGTTTTATGCTTTCAGAGTGCTATCCCTGAATTTCATCCGAGCGATGAAATAATTCCCCTGAGAGGTTTCATTCTCTGGCTGCTCCTTCCCTTCAACACACCTGGACCACCTTGCTGTGAGCAAAACCAGAACAGAGCAAAGCAACCCGCTCATCGATTGCAGCACGCTGCAAAGGCTCTTCCCTCTCTATGCTGGGCAAAGCTGTGCTCTGCAATGCCAAAATGCAGCCAGCTGAGTCCTACCCCAGGGGAGGCAACCATCCCGTGGCAGATGGAGGGGCTGATGTGGAGGGAGGGTGCCGGGGGCTTTTCATACCTT